TGAGGGAGGGTCAGATCTTAGGGGCTAGGGAACAAAATAAAAATTAGAAAGAGGGTAAAAAAGACCTTGGTGTAAGTGAAATGGGGTAGCAGTCAGTTGAATAGTAACACCATAAGTACCTGCTAGGGAAACTTGTCCATAGTCCCACTGCTTTACAACATCTATTCTGTAGATGAACACAGTTGGGAATTTACCGTAGGGGTGAAAGGGGGCTCTGTGGAAATCAGAAGCACCCATAATCCTACCCATTCATTCATTCATTCATTCATTCAACAAACTTCATGTAGGGTCTACCATAGGCCTAAGACATAGTGCCGCCCTCAGAAACCACCACCAAGTAGAAGAGGTGCCAACAAATAATTCCCAGCAAGGAAATGTAGTTAGAAAGACACAGGGGTGCTAGCACCGAGACAGCCATCTTCCTCCTTCCTTCGTCCTACAAGGGGAGAGCCATGAGAATGACACTTCTGGTCTCTCTCCACGCCCTTATGGGCTTTGCTCAAAAGAGGAGAAGACAACGAAGCACAGGTGGCTGGGGCCTCCCTCCTTCCCTTGAGGTCCCCCCGCCTGCTGTGGGAGCCCCATTCTCTCTGCTGTCCAGCTGTCAGTATCACAGTCAGGCACTTCTGTGAGGGTAGTTTCACTCTTGAGGTACAATATTAGTACCACTTTATCATTCAACCCAAAGCCAGAAAAAATGACCCATGTGGCCTTGCAATAAACATGACATTTTTATCTCCTATTGTCACTCTCTGTGACTCAGTTCTGAATTCAAGCAGGGTCCAGAACCATCATTTCCAACTGCTTCCAACCGCTGCAAGTGTCTCTCTCATCTGCTCTTATTCCCAGCTGCTGTCATTACATATCTTAACAATATTTGATAATGGGCAGTTTTTTCACTCTTTTACAGGAGAAAAACTGTAGAACCTGAGCACTGAATGACTCATCAAGAGACCATTTGATATGTCAATTTGTTCACTTTAAGATGGAAAATTCTGATTCCCTAACACAGATGTCATTTAGAGCACATAGCCTTCTGATTGCAATCTTTGCTTAGTGGGGGGCGGGGGGGGGGGCAGGCGGAGGATGCTGAATATTAGAAATTATCTTTCTGCCAGTAAGAGGGGCTATCCTATTAGATCTGGAATAGAAACACTATGTACATGTTCATCTGCTTCACTTTACTTGAAGCTCTGTGGATGAAGCAAGGAGATAAATTGGGGACAAGGGCCTGGAAAACCCTTCTCTTGCTTAGGAGCGTTTATACTTCATTCATGAAACAACTACTGCAGCCCTCTAAGTGCCAGGCACCAATCTTGGAGTAATGAGATGAATACAACACAGTCCCTAATGAATCCACTCTTTTTCTCCCTGTATAATACTGCAACCCACTTTTGTTATTCAACAATGCCTCAATGGACACACCGTCTATCCACGGACAGTGAATCGCCTTGTGACTTCTGCATGCTACCTTCTTTCTAGTGGTCCTAGTTCTCCAGCTATTTGGGGTACTTTATTACAATACAATGTTGTTGTTTTTTAAGAGACATTGGATTCCAGGATAATCCCAATGTGAATGCAGACCATCACATGTCCTATGGCTAGAAAGCACAACTCCAAGGTGCCCAGATGCCCATAGGTGCAACAGGCATTGATTGGTCAGGGTAGGGAACAGAGAAGTAGGCTGTTGTCAATAAATTCAAAGAAGAAAACACAAATCAAGGTATCCATCAAACAATAAACAAAGGGCACCTTTTTCTCCTCTCAAACTCAAGCTTCAACAAAATGAATGAGCTCCCTACTTGCTATTAACACTTTTACAAGTTCAAGTTTACTTTACAAAACAGGTTACATACCCCAAGAACCTTCTAATTTGTTAGTAATTAGGAAGACTGGTGTGAATAAGTGAGAATTTAGGATTAAAAAACATGTGCCAAATAGGTTTGTTGTTGTTTTAAATGAAGAATGGGAGGGAGTTCAGATAACATTTGTTGAGAATCGATGTTGCAGTCACCCTCATACAAGCCTTTTCCTCACTAGTTTTCTGGAAAGTACATAGTAATGTACCTATTCTTTTTTCCAGATGCAAAAATTAAAGTTCAGGTGTTAATTAACATACATTATATTTCCGATTCCAGTTCCTCTGGAAAAATTTCTTATTCTCTGATTCAGTGTTTCTCAATGAGCTTGTGGACACTGGTCATTAGTTGGTCTTGGGCTGGGAACTTTGTATATGATGACCCTGCCTGGAGGGAGTGTTAACATCCCTGGCTCATGAACACAAAATACCAACAGCAAACCCCAGCAGCAGTCCCTACATATCCACACACCCCTGAGGGCAATGCCCCCTCAGCTGAGAACCACTAGTCTAAAAGGCTGAGTATCAAGACACAATACCAAAGAGCGGGGCACATCCTTTAAAAGTGCCCCCTACTTTCAAACTCTGGAATCCAAAGCAAGTCCCATGCTCCGTGGAGTCATTTACAAAAGCTCTGTGCATTTATTCCCATGCATTCCAAGAGCATTTATTGAGTACCTATTATGGGTCAGGTACTGTGCTGGGAATATAAAGTCAAAGACAGCATGGTTCCAATCCCCAAGAGGTTACAGTCTCATAGTCTAGTGAGAGAGAGATTAAGTATGGTAAGAGTTAGGACAGAAGTAAGCACAGGTGTTGGGTAGGGATGCTTAGTGCAGAAGGCACCTCCCATAGATAGGACAGAGTGCTGGAAGGCAGACAAAAAGGAGGGCTGGGACAGGTTCCCAGAGGAATGTCGAAAGACCAAATGAAAGTAGCCAGGAAGGGCCCAGTCTGGGCAGAGAAAACTATCTTTGCAAAACCAGAGAAGAGAGGAATCATATTTGTAGCCAAAGTTTAAACTACTTCATTCTTCAAGTGGAGACCTCATTGTGATTCAAACTCAGGATCTCCTGTTTACTAGAAAGGCAGGTTAACCAAATAAGTCACTAGATTTATCTTCCTTATAAGTTATCCGCTGTCCATGTGTATTTCCTTCCAAGGCCCTTGCTTTTGTGGGTATAATAACTCATCAGACAAGAAATACGACTAATTCTATACTTCTTCCAGTGAGCAGGAAATTGCTTTCAAGCACATTGTGGAGTGTCCCTCATTGGGGATACACAAAAGTGGGGAACAGAAGAGGTAATAATGTCATCTGAGGAATGAGGTAGGTAGAGGGGTGTCCATAGGCCAATATACCCTTGACCCCAAGCTCAGGATGAACTTTACCTTGTTGGTTTTTTGTGTGTGTTTTTTGTCAGTTTGTTTAATCTGAAATCATGTCTCACTTATCATCAACTCTAACATGCAAAAAGCCAGATCTTGCCTGGCCAGCATGACTCAGTGGCTGAGTGTTGACCTATGAACCAGGAGGTAATGGTTCAATACCTGGTCAGGGCACGTGCCCAGGTTGGGGGCTAGATCCCCAGTGGGGGTCATGCAGGAGGCAGCCGATCAATAATTCTCTCTCGTCATTGATGTTCCTATCTCTCTCTCCCTCTCCCTTCCTCTCTGAAATCAATTAAAAAAATACATTTTTTAAAAAGCCAGATCTTTACCCTATTATTACATTTGCACAGAAAACTTAGAAACGACTTTGGCTATTGGTTTGTTCTTTTCAAAGGCATATATGTTATATATAATTAAAAACAACAAATACAGAAATAAATATATTAGATATGGATAGATAGATATCCAGAGGTGGCCAGCTGGGGATCTCTGAACCTGAGATAGCCCAAAGGCCGTAGTTTCCTGCATTTGTGGGAGCTGAGCCCAGGAGCTGGGTTGCTGCTACTTCAGGTGAAGTAATTATAAAGCGCAAGAGTCAAATTAGTTTCATTTCTCTCACCTGGGGTGGGGAGCAGAGAGGAAAGCAAGCAAGCCCTTATGGTTCTTTCTTGCCTCCAGTTTACAAGGAACAGGCTCATTTCCCCTTGGCAGGAAGCCTGATGCAACTAGCAGGCATGCCCTCTTTTTCCTACCTCCCGCCCCAACCCCTTCTCCTCTGACCTGAGCCACACTCAGGAACCACAATTCTGTGGGTGAACTAGGCTCCCTTTAGTCCCATGATTTTTTTTTTCTTCATTTTATCAGTTTGACCTCTAATCTGACATCACAACCATGCCTGGTCTACATATTTCCCCCCAGAAACTGCCCTCCACAAGAAAGCCTGTGTTCCGAGCTAAGAGAATCTGAAATGAAAATGGGATCCCTCACAAACCGCCTATCCCTGCTTTCAACCAGAAAGTTTAAAGGAGGCAGGACTGCTGAGCCCAAACTGCAAAGCCAAAGGCTTCAGAATTATACCAGGAAAGAGGCAGGTGGTCTTTGGGGGTGGAATTCACCCAAATCCAATAGGTTGGTTCTCCTTTTTACCCCTGGCTAATTCCATTTCGTTTCTGTAAACTTTGAAATCCCGGGAGGGTTGAATCAACAGAGACAGGTGTAGGGGCACCTCTACTCCCTTGGGCACATCTGCTGCTGCCCCTGCCCTGTGCAGACGACGAGGGGCCCTGGGTTCCTCGACCCAATCGCAGTGCATGCTTCCTGATGACGCACCTTGCCGGGGTCCTCGCCAAGGTGTGGGGCGCAAGCGAGCATCCCCTGCCCAGTGGCCGCCCCGCTGATCACCCAGCTAGCCGGCCCCAGAGGGAGGGGACCGCGAAAGGGGCACCTCGGGGCTAAGACCTCCTGCCTGTCTCTCAGGCTTTCCCCCCATTTCCGGCACATCGTTTCACATTAGGGACACTTCGTCTGCAAGCGTCAAGTCCTGCGCACCTACGTGTCTTTCCAAAGCAACTGAATAAAGCGCCTACTAGCCTTCCGTGGCTCAGGTGAGCGCCAAGAGGTGAAGGAGGAAAGGGCCGGCTCGCCACCACCCTCTTTCCTCTCCTCCCCACGTTCTCCAAGATTCACCGGGGATGTGTGTATTGGGGTGCGCGGGTTAAGAGGGGGCATAAAATGCCCAAGCGTCCCTTACCTTCCACAGCCATTCTCTCACAGCTTCCCTAACGCATGCATAATTTTCTTGGCCGAGGTACTCCTCCTTCCCCGCACAACCCCCCTCCGTGCGCTTTCGCCTAAATATTCTGCGCTCATCTGCTCCGGGACCAACCTGCCGCGGTCACGCAGACAGGCTGCCGGCTCCCAGCTCCGCGCAAGGCCGCATGGGAAATGTAGTTCCCACCCTTCGCTCCGACCCTCGAAAACACTCCGAGTCCTTAGCGAGGCGCACCCTCTCTCCACACTCGGACTGCAGCTATGGTTTCAGCTGATCCACGCGAAGAAATCCCTCCTGGGGGGTCTCGTAAGCGGACAGGGGGACCCCCTGGAGGTGGTAGGGACTACATTTCCCAAGATGCCCTGAGCTGGATTTCGTTCCGCACTTAGAGTAGAGACTTGATTGAGATCCTCCCTTCAATTAGAAGGGAGTAAGCACCTGGCGCGGCTAGAGTGGGAGGCGGAAGGAGGCAGGGTTTGTGGTGTGATCTCCTGAGCTTGCTTTCTGGCCTCCTAGGCCACCCGCTTAATGAGGACAGCAGAGCCACCAGCGGGCTGTGGTTCATCGCCTGGGTCAGAGAGCCATTGCACAGGGTGCTGTTGAAACTTGTTCCTCTGCTCCCTGGGATCTGTGGGGTTTGGCTGGATGCTGGCAAGTGTGGTTCAGGTGGCTAACACTTAGCAAAGGGTTGGCGGGTGGCCTAAAATTCCTAACCAGGCATCATTCCTAAGGAGCAATACCTGGGAACCAGGATTCCACCCGAGGATGTCAGCGAGGGAAACCTGTCTGGCTTCCAAGGTAGGAAGCTTTCCAGTTGCCTGGCCCTGGGCCTGTCGGTGGTCGGTGATGGGGCCTAATAATGAACAGTGCCTCGGAATTAGTGTTCTTTCAACTTCTGAACCTGTGCCCCAATTACAGGTGCTGGGGTACCTGGAACACACAGGAAAGAGAGAGTCACGTGGAGGGCCGTAGAATTCCAGAGTGGAAGTTCGCAAACTTTTTTCCTCCTGCATGTGGAAATACAGATGCACGTATGGCTTGGTAGAGAGTGAGGGAATGGTCTTCGGGATAAAATGGACCCAGGATTGCAGTGTTCCTTTGAAAGGCCTTGAGTTTGGAACTGTACATGGTACCACTTCACTTCCACCCAGCCCCTAGCATTTCTGTCCTCCTATATATATATACTTAAAAAAAAGAAAAGAAAGAAAGAAAGCAAGAAAGAATGAACAAACTAAATAATAACTCTAAGGAAGTACAAAGATCTGATTCTTCCCCTTATCATGACAAATTTTCTTTTTCTGTCTTGGTCATAATATTTTTTCTTTCTTTTTTCTTTTCTTTCTTTTCTTCTTTTTTTTTTTTTCTTTACCGCTAAGTACCTATGTGTTTAGCCCTCTTATTAGGTAGCATAGCTGTGTCTCAGTCTTTTCAAAAGACCTGTGTGCATCCATTAATGATACTTTGACTCTGAGTCGGGAGAGTTTGTGCACATCAAACCCAAGGCTTCCAGCTTTGGTAAAGAGACCTGTTCAGTGAGACAGCGCCATTTTTCCAACCACATATGCAACCAAGCTCTCCAAAACTCTAGAAGGAACTGAAATCCAGGTGCTGTCTTTCCTCTCAAGTATACAAAATGACCAAAGCATTCATTTCCTTAGATTGAATGAATGGAAAAAAAGTCATGGGAGGAGAGGCAACATCAAGAGTTCTCAATGTTGCTCATCAGCCCTTTACAAACACACTTTCCTAAGCCCAGCCTTAGTCTTACAGAATGAAGATATTTTTGAGGTTTGGGTAGGGACACTAAAGTTTTAAAAATCCACAGGTGATTCTACTCTGTAGCGAGGGCAAAAACTATTGGTCTGCTCTCAAGCCTTTGAGGATCTGGGTGATACTAAAATGTGAAAATCATTGAAATTAATTTTTAATTTAAAAACCTCATTTCATTGCTTCTCAGCCTTTAGGCTAAGGTCGGGAATAAAGACATCATTTCACCTGAAGTTTTTAAGAGCTCTCTCAACCAATACACAGTTTGAATTTCATTTAGTGTAAACATACATAAGATGTGAAGGAAATATTTGTTTAACCATATGAAATAGCCAATATTTTTTAACTTTAAAAAAATCTATAAACAGAGCAATTTTATGTGTTTTTACCTACTGAAGGATAAACAGCAGTTAAACAGGGGTTTTCAATTCTGGATAAATATTAGAAGCACCTGGGAAGCTTTAACAACAAACACATTTCCAGTAGAATGGTCAAAAGAAAAAGACAGGAAATACCAACTCTTGGCAAGATTGTGGACCAGTAAGGACTCATGTATACTGTGCAAACTGATAAAACCACTCTGGAAAACCATTTGGCATGTTAAGCTGAATATTGGCTTATTCCGTGATCCAGCAGTTTCAATCAAACATATATGCATACAATTTTCCAAAAGACGTAAACAGAAATGTTTGTGGCTACATTATTTGAATAGGTACAAACTGGAAACAACCCAAATGTTCATCAACAATAGATTGAATAATCAAATTGTGGTATAACCAAACCATCCTCTATAGCAGGGGTCAGCAAACTATGGCCTAGGGGCCAAATATCGCTCACTGCTTATCTTTGTATGGCTCATAAGCCACCCCCTCATAAGCTAAGGGTGGTGTTTATATTTTTAAATGGTTACCAAAAAAATCAAAAGAAGAATATTTTGTGACTCATAAAAATTATAAAGAAATACCCACATAATATTCTTAATTTTGCTTTTTGGTCTGCGAAACCCAAAATATTTCCTATCTGGACCTTTATAGAGAAAAGGTTTTTCAAACCCTACATAAAATTAGAATGAATGAATAAAACAACACGGTTGAGCCCTACCTGGTTTGACTCAGTGGATAGAGCGTTGGCCTGTGGAGTGAAGGGTCCTGGGTTCAATTCCAGTCAAGGGCACATGCTTGAGTTGCAGGCTTGATCCGCAGGAGCGGGTGTGCAACAGGCAGCTGATCAATGATTCTCATCATTGATATTTCTTTCTCTCTTTCTCTCTCTCTCTCTCTAAAAACAAACAAACAAAAAAACCCTAAAACAACAACAACAAAAAACACGGTTGAACCATATGCATTAGTTACCTATTGCTGGTAGCAAATTGCCCCCAAATATAGTGGTTTAAAATAATACCCACTTATTGTCTCAATGTCTATGAGATAGAAATTTGGGCACAGCTTCTCTAGGCCCTCTGCCTCCGGGTCTTTTACAGGCCATAATCAAGGCGTTGGCTGGGCTGAAGTCATCTGAAGGCTCATGGGGACAAGATCTGTTTTCAAGATCACATAGCTGTTGGCAGATTTCAGCTCCTCACAGGCTGTTCTTGGGTGGAGGGCCTCAGTTCTTTTCTGGCTATTGACGAGAGCCCCCCCTCAGCACTTTGCCACAAGGGCATCTCCAACATGGCAGCCTGCTTTATCAAAGCATGCGAGCTAAGAAGGCAATAGAGCCTGCTAGCAAGACGGAAGTCACAACCTAATCATGGAAATGCCACCTCCTCAATGTTGCCATCTTCTAATAGATACACTTTTTCCAGGGGGAGAGAATTAGATAAGGCCATAATGAACCAAAGGTGGGATCACTAGGGGTCAGCTGCCTACCACAACATACAAGCAGAATGTTGAACAAAACAAACCAGACAAAAAGAAGTACATATTGTATAATCCTATTTCTATAAAGTTCAAAGGCCAGAAAAAAATTAATCTGTATCATTGGAAGTCAGAATAGTGGTTCTTCTTAGTGTAGAGGAGGTGATAAAAGGGGGCCTAATTAGCTGCTGGAAGGAAGCCCTGTGATGGCATCTGGGGGTATTCTGATTCTTGAGCTGATGCTATTTCTACCTATGTATAATGCTTGTGAATATATATTTAGCTGAATATGCATGATTTGTGGAAGTTGGTCATGCTTGTGGATGTGTTACATTCCAATGAAAAGTTTTAAAAAAGAATATGTGACCCTAGCTGGTTTGGCTCAGTGAATAGAGCATTGGCTTGAGAACTGAAGGGTCCTGGGTTTAATTCTGGTCCAGGGCACATGCCCGGGTTGTGGGCTCAATCCCCAGTAGGGGACATGCAGGAGGCAGCCTATCAATGATTCTCTCTCATCATTGATGTTTTTAATCTCCCTCTTCTCCCTTCCTCTCTGAAATCAATAAAAATATATTTTAAAAAAGAATATGTCCTTAGACTCTAAGTCTAAGTCTATTAAATATGGTAAGTTTACCCATGTGCTTAAACACTACACTATGCTGTCTTTCTTATTTTCCACATTACCGTGTTTCTGCCACAGGCAGTTTTGGAGAGTGGCAGACCAAAGTCAAAGCAAGAGGCTGGATACGTGGATATCAGGTGTGGTCCCCAAGGAGCATCTCCTTGTGCCTCTCATCTTCAAGGGCGGGTGAGTAACATGGATAAAACCTCTGCAGCCTTTTCTCTTTGGGGAAACTCTGTGCTTTGTTATTTTCCCAGAGCCAGAAAGAAAGAAAAAAAACCCAAACAAAAAAAACCCCAACATATTGTGTTGTCACAAAAGAAAAGGATGGAGTTGAGCCTTCATGATTAGAGATGAGAGAGGTCCATCACTTGTCAGAAAGTGAGAGTCTGGGGGAATTCATGCCATCGGTGCCCGAGTAAAGGCACTGCAGGTGCTGATGACAGATTACTGTCCTCATAAACCTGAAGGCATGATCTAGGGCTCAATCCTAATGTCTGCCAAACTCAAAGAAGTGAAAGAAAAATGGGGACAGAGGACATGATTTAGACTGCACCTGGGAGAGAAGGAATGCAGCGCACCCAAGATGTGCCTTGTGAGATAAGGCAACCATTCGCCGGGCACAGGCCCCGGTTTTGCTCCCACCTTGCCTTTTCCAGCCCCTGGTAACTGTTAGGGGAAAATGTGCCATGTGAAAGGGATTTCTGTGCAGTCTGGTTTTATTCAAGGAAATGCAAATTCTATGGGGGTGGGTAAATAGTGAGCTGAATTTTGCCCCATTGTTTTTAAGGCTGATGGGGTGGTATCTGTTAGGTGTCTTCAGTGATGCAGGGTGTTATTGTTAAGGTGGACCCCTTTGGGGCCCTTCATTCTCATCTCCTGGGCTGG